CCGTCCCTTCTCTCCGTCCGAAGACAGGCCCGACTCTCGGCCTGACGCGCCCGGGGCGTTCTGTGGCGCCTCCCGCTGCCAGCTCGCCCCGCCGGCCTGAGCGGCTCCGGCGAAGGGATCTCCCCAATCCGATCTCCTTGGGAAACGAAACTCCGAAAGCGGCGCCTTTCCCGTCTCACGTGTCCTGGATGTAGACGATCCGGGCGAGCCGAGCGCTCCACGGTCTGGACCGATGCGCGACGTCGCTGTCCCGGAGTCGGACGGGATTCACTCCGAAGTGAACGTGCCGACTCGGACCGCACAGCCTTCGAGCTCCTTCGTGTTTAAATCGTTCCCACCGACAGCAAGGGGGGCGCGACGTCTGCCGTCGGAGGAAGAGTGACTCGGAGTAAAGTCCCACCGAACTCAACGCGAAATGAAATCCCCTCCCCGGCGTCGGTGCAGAGCGGGCCGCGATGCTCGGCTCGGATAGGGTTGCCAGAAATGCAACAACAGAAAAGAACCAGGGGAGGGCTCCTCGTTTCTCTCGCTGCCTGGCCCGACACACCCGGGTCGAACTCCTGCCATCCTGCGAAGGCTGGCTTGAAGAAGCAGCAGAACCCTCCATCTGGCCCAGTCAAAGGTGGGGATTTCTGCCTTCGGCTTTGCGCGGCGGGCCCCTCCGCCTCCAGCCTGCCCCACCCCACCCCACCGCCTGGCAGGACGAGCGCAGGGCCGGCTCCAGCTTATTTTGCACCCTAGGCGAGGATCCCTTCTCCCCTCCCCCTGCGCCCACCAATTTTCAAAAATAAATGCATTTTAGGAAGAATAAAAAACACAAATAATCAAGAAACTCCCAGAGTACAGGGTCGGGTGCAGTTTGGTGCCCCTAAGGGCCACCCCGCTCTAGGCGATCGCCTAGTTTGCCTAGTGAGTGAGCCCGCCCTGGACGAGTGGATGAGACTGGCCTGCCTTAGAAGGCCATCGGGAGGACGACCTGAGACGTGGGTCTCAAGCGCCGGGAACGTTCGGCAAACGCGCTCTATCCGCTCAGAGCTCGCACGTTTCCGAGGGTCACCGTTGAACTGGGTGGCCCGAAACCCCGACTTCGCCGCCGGCTTCTCTTCCTCGGGGAGAGCCACTGAAGAGCGTGTCACGTTGCCTGGATCGTGTCCGCTCAGCACGGGATCCCTCTTGAACCTGCTGAGGCAAGGGCCCCCGAATGGAGAGCCCCCCAGGAAGGCCGGGCGGCCCTGCGGGTGGCGACTCTCGATCCCC